ACTATATGATTATTTAAATTATACTTATATAAACAAACATCTAAGAGGCCTGGTGACTTACAAAGTTGTAACAAGTTTAACTATTACGAGCACCAAGCACACAACCCTTTTTTTTTTCAGTCATTACCTCACATACTTAATGTGTTGAGCGATAAAGTAAATAAATGTTTATTATTATTATTTTTGTCCTCCAAAACTTTTCTCCAAATTCCACGAGCTTTGCCAACTATGTGGAGTTCAGGGGATTGGATTTAATAAGCTTGACGATGTTACCGTTTGCAGAAACTTTCGAACAATTCGACACATTCGGGATAACGCCTGTGAAAATCACCACGGCTCATTCTTTATTATATTTTTAACCGACTTCAAAAAAGGAGGACGTTTTTATGTTCGATTGTATGTATTTTTTTATGCATGTTCACCGATTTCGTGAAATCGTGAAATCTCAAAATTTCTTTTATTTGAAACATTATACTCGTAAGGTGGTCCCATTGGCACCAAGTCAGGAGCTGATTTTCGAATCCCAGGGAAATCAAGGGCCACCCTCAAAATGTTATAGGTGTAAACAATGTTTTTCATGTTTTCTATAGCTATTAATACATTTGCATTTTATCATAATCCCATGATACCGAGTTGAGAAGGAAGGTAAAACTCTTTAACGGTTAGGAGTTAGGTGATTTCTTTTTCTAAAATAATGTATAGAGGCTTGTCGATATCGATAATTAATTTCTCTGGAGGCAACTGAGTCAGTGCAAGAAACTAGAAGTATTAATAATTTTAACCGACTTCAAAAAGGAGGAGGTTATCAATTCGGATGTTTACACGTTTTTTTAATGTATGTTCTGAACTCCGTCATATATATATTACAGATTTAGAAAATATTTCTTTTTTCTAATGGGTTCTGTTGTTGGAGTTTTCAAGTGTAAACGTTTTGCACAAGCATACAACATAACATCACATCTGTACACTCGAAAGGGTTAAGAAGATGTATTCAGTAAAGCTGAGAACGAAAACAGCGGATTTACATAATTAATACTCTGTTGTCGCATTCTCAGCTACCATGTGTGCATGGTAGTTGAGAATGCAAGAGCCGTGATAGCTCAATGTCCGGACGCTCGCCTTTAATTCAATATACTCGAGCAACCTCGAGTTCGATCCGGCCGATGGGGCCGCATGGTGGACTATACCCTGATACCCTCTATAAAAAAGAGGAGGTCTTTTCCCGGCAGTGGGATATGTATAGGCTGTTACTTTACTTTACTTTTATTTTACTTTACTTGTGCATTGTAAGAGTCTTCTTGTCTGAGAGTGGGATAAACTTGAATTGCAACTCCATCGGCAAAATCTCCTATCGACAGTTTTCCTTGACATTCACAAAGCAATTCATGTTGAGCCGTCGTCAATTCGCCAACGCGATTGCTAATCTTTGTGAATAAATTTATGGCCAAACGAGTGCGAATTAAACTGTTGTAATTTTCTTGATTTCTTTCATGTAGCTTAACATTTTTTTTATGTAACATGTAGGATTTCTGTATGTTATGTGCACCAAGTTTGTTATTGTATCAATATGTGTTATACCTTGTCTTGTATTTACTATTGTGTTTGGTTTGTGTAGTACATCTTGTATGGGGCAACCCCCAGCACAGGTTTTGGTACGTATGTACGTACCTTTAATTTATTTGTGTTTTAATGATAGTTTCTAGTGAATTATATGCGCAACTTGCTTGAATCTTTGTGTATATATCGGTTGCATGAGTGTCGGGCAAGTGTTTGTTGAGTGTTGCGTGGTTTAGGACTACCTTTATCATTTTTCATTTTAGGGCCTTAATTTAGCCATGTAGTCTCATAAAATAGGGCTAAGGTATTCGCTGCCTGTCGTAAAAGGCGACTAAAAGGGGTCACGGATTGGTAGTAGCACGAAGTGGTATATAGGTTGGAGGGAGGTTTATATTTCTCCGAGGCGTGCTCATGCGCAGTACTGAGGAACACCGGTGCGTTCCGTATGAGATCCCAGAGTCCCTTCAAATTTACAGAAGGTGGTCACCGAGGGGGTTTTAGTGGGTACTAAGCCCACATTACCCTTAGCCTCTTTTGAAAAATTGTATTTATAAGCCTACTGGCAAACTTAAAACCCTCCGTTTCAGGAAACAAATATCCTAACTTAAGCCATTATTTGGATTATTCTATATCGCAAACATTTTTTTTAAGGTCATTTTTTTATACTTATAATTACTATTAAATATTATGTTACTATAATTATATTATACATTTCAAAACCGAAATGATTTTAAAACTGTCTTTAGTTGTATTTCTAACATATTATACAAAATTATAACATTGAAGATGCGTCCTATTGGCGGAGATATGCATATAGTGAGTTATTGATTCCTTTCGATTCTTACCTTAAACGTATGCATGATAAGTAGATTTGATATGGTGTTATGGTAGAGTTAGTTTGCTTTGAATTTGGAATCAAGAAACAAGTACGTCCAACTTACCGCTATTAACGCTGCCAAAGTTACCTAACTTAGTGCTGTTTCAACTTAACTAGTTTAATCTTTCCAAGTTCTTCTATGAGTATATTTGAAAGCAAACGGACTGTACTTTGAATGATTAAGTTCTACACATTAGACAAATCCATACGATATTTATTCAATAAAAACATAACCGTTATAGTTTGGTCATTTTATTACGATTAAGGTACTCTTTTGTTATTTTATATAATATTATAAGAAATGCTAAATCATTACGCTTTTTATTTATTCGTTATTTGGCTATTAATATTAAATGAATAATGTTACTTCGAACCAGGAATGGGAGGTGACTTTGCAGGGACCCCAGTCGGAATAGTATTTTTTAATTTGATTTAGTGGTCCGAGTAGGAAGTGGATTAGATAATAGAAACTATCATCATCATCATCATATCAGCCGTAGGACGTCCACTGCTGAACATAGGCCTCCCCCATTGACTTCCACTTCGACCCGTCGGTAGCGGCCTGCATCCAACGCGTCCCTGCGATCTTGGCTAGGTCGTCCGTCCATCTTGTGGGAGGCCTTCCTACGCTGCGTTTGCCGTCACGTGGTCTCCACTCGAGAACCTTTTTGCCCCAACGGCCTTCGGTTCTTCGAGCTATAGAAACTATATATATATATATATATATATATATATATAGAAACTATATAATAGAATAGACTAGATAATAGAAACACAATAAATTTATCAGGCTCTTTCATCTCAGTTATAACACAAATGTACGCAATACAACAAATACACAAGTTCGGCAGTCTCTTCAACTATGTAAGACTGGCGCCCACTACAGTGTTTCTCACCATAAATATTGGCAAGCAATGGAGTACAATGTTCCTAACTTTTTATTTACTCTCCACCATAAATAAAAAAGGGATAATTGCTGACAGAAATACGTATATATTATTCATTGTTGTATTGTGCGCCGCTACATTTCGATATTCGTTATGACGAAGCTGCAATTCAAAATTATCAGGACTGAAATCGGAGATGGAGGTATAAAATAAGTCGTAAATACATTTGAGTGTAAGTTTTCATCAATTTTAATTAACCTTTTAATACCAATATTGCTTAATTGAATAAGAACATAATAGATCGCAGAGTAGGCCTATTCGGGAAACCACGTTAATAAAATGCGCTAAGTGCAATTCAGCGCCACCCCACGGGTGTATACATACACTGTGTATACATCCATATGCATTTAGGTCATTTTAATATTACAAACAGACAGTCCAATTTTCTTTATCTGTATAGATAAAGTTCCGAACATTCCTACTACGTAGTTTTCAGGTCAGCGCGATTAATTGTACACTTGCCACTATTTCTTAAACGGATTGTTAGCCCCTGTAAGAAATATTTAGCAATTTTCCATATAGCTAAGTATTGTCCAAATACTCATTGAAAAGATACCTTTCACGTCTTGAAAAACGAAATTGTTATTGAGGTCTGTAAGTATTGCGCTAAATAAATGGCTGATATATTTGAAGTATTATTAAACAAATTATAGTAATGTGAAATAAAACACAAATGTTAAAAACTTTTCGATTACGTATTGTACAATCTCTTTTCGCTTGTTTATTCTTGGTAAATTGATGAAATGACAAATTTTACGAGGTCGTTCTTTGCAAACTTATCTTGCTTATCGAAATATTTGACTACATGTGATTGGGCTCTCATATTTGTTTATACAAAACCTCTTGTCATCACGCAACACAGTTTATCTGTTACTTCATTACATTCGCTACGATAAGGATATTTAATGATACATAGAATTGTCGGAAACTGCAAACAGTACACCAATTTAATAATTATTGCTTTCGATATATCGTTCATTTTTCTGTGTACGTAACAGAAGAGCACGCATAATATTATGAATTCGTAGCCTGTCTCTTTCACATTACGTACGCAACGCACTGTGAAGTGAGCTTCAAGCGGCTATTTAGATCTCACAGCACAAACAATATGTTATCACTAGTCACAGCGGCAGTGTACTGTCAATGGGTCATTGGCGAGGTTATGTTAGTGTGGAATATTTATCTTGCTACAAAACTGCGTAAAGTTAGTTTATAAGTGATTAAAGTGATAATATTATACAGGATAAATGAAAAGGAACTTTATTTAAGCGTCTAGTGATAAAAAGTGATAAGCTTGTGGCTTAAAGGTCCATTGTACATATAGTACCAAAACCTGTTCATATTAACCTGCTATGACGATGGCTTTATCGTTAAGGAACTTTTCAAGGGTTTGGTCGTCTTTATATGCTAGCAATAATTTGAGAAGTTTGTCCACGACATGTTCTAATAACGCTAAAGTAAAGTTTAATTGGGAAGACCCACTCGACTTAGATGGACAATTACACGAGGACGAAAAGGCGGTTCGCGATAGTTTTAAGGATTATTGTAATGAAAAATTAATGCCAAGAATTATAGATGCAAACAGAAAAGAGGTATTTGACCGAGAAATATACAAGGAAATGGGTGAACTGGGCGCTCTTGGATGTACTATTAAGGGTTACGGATGTGCTGGTGTGTCATACGTTACATATGGATTAATTGCAAGGACATTGGATGGCGTGGATTCAGCATACAGGTCTGCCTTCAGTGTTCAAAGCAGTTTAGCCATGGGTTCTATCTATATGTATGGATCCGAGGAACAGAAACAAAAATTCCTCCCGAGGATGGCCAAGGGAGAATTGGTGGGTTGCTTTGGTCTGACAGAGCCGAATCACGGTAGCGATGCCGGAGGCCTTGTGACAAGAGCTAAATATGATGCCAAAAGCAAGAGCTATATACTATCCGGATCAAAAACCTGGATCACTAACTCGCCGATAGCGGATATATTAATAGTCTGGGCTAAGGACGAGGAAAACAAAGTTAGAGGTTTTATAGTTGAGAGAGCACAAGTCAAAAAAGGACTTGATACCCCCCGAATCGACGGTAAATTTTCTTTGCGAGCGTCTGCGACAGGCATGATATTGCTCGACGAAGTGGCTATACCGGAAGAGAATTTATTGCCTAACGTAGTCGGCTTAAAGGGACCTTTCGGATGTCTCAATAACGCGCGGTATGGAATCGCTTGGGGCGCTCTTGGTGCGGCTGAGACATGTTTGCGGATCGCCCGACAGTACACAATAGATAGAAAGCAATTTGGGAGGCCGCTAGCTTCAAACCAGCTTGTACAAAAGAAGTTGGCTGACATGATTACAGAGATAAGCATTGGTTACCAGGCATGCTTAAAAGTCGGTCGCTTGATAGACAAGGGCTTAGCTGCGCCCGAAATGACATCGATAATTAAACGAAATTCTTGTGGAAAAGCTTTAGAAATCGCTAGAGTTGCCAGAGATATGCTTGGAGGGAATGGCGTTTCAGACGAATATCATATTATTAGGCACGTTATGAATTTGGAGGCAGTTAATACTTATGAGGGGACACATGATATACATGCGCTAATTTTAGGCAGAGCTATTACAGGAATTCCAGCATTTTAAATGCGTTTAAAATTATTTTGTAATTGTACAAATCTAAATATAATTTTACTTAATATATTTTACATTGTTTCGTTGTTATCTTGTTTTGTAATCGTCTTTGCTTTTTTATATTAATATAATAAAAACGTAAAACAATTATGTTTTATTTCATGAACATAATTTGGAATTTCTGAACCAAATTTTAGTTTAGATTGGAATTTCAATATTTGTAAATCAAGTCGAAAATAAAAATTCGGCAATTGCTATGCAATATAAATATGTCATTTCACTATTTAATATGTATTTTTAATTTGTTAGTGATCCATTGTCAATGACGTGATAATTGTGGGGTCTGCTGCTGTAGTATTTTTATTGAGATATCAATTTCATTCGACCTTATTGTGCTAATTTTTAATTGAGTTTGCGTATATTATAGTTAAAAAGGAACTTATTTTATTTTTATCGAAATTATTCCTTCTTTTGAAAGGAATTTAAAATTCAAATATAGTATACGAAATGAAGGAACGAACAATAAATTGGCGGAATTTACTTAGCTACTTTACAATTGGTTAGCAAAATTAACAAGATTGATTATTGTAAGAAAAACGGTTATCGTAAGCTGTTAAAACATTTTTTTTTCAATGAAACAGATAAGAAAATTCTTTAAATAACGATGAGCAAATTCTTTAAAAAATCAATAATGGAGGCGCCGGGTATCGATCCCGGTACCTCTCATATGCTAAGCGAGCGCTCTACCATCTGAGCTACGCCCCCTGATATAACATGGGTGAAATTAAAGAGTTACTGTGCTCTTTTTATTAGATGTTTTTGATTCCATTAATTTGTATGTAATATATGTGATATATTGAATTGTTTACTAAACAGATTATGTACCTGTTTTTTATATTTATAATTTAAAGCGTTATTTTACAATATATCTTAGAGATTATTTTACTTTTAAGATAATATTTGGGAAGAATCGAAATACATTTATATAATGATTATTAGATTTTTAAGTAACTTTAAACGTAATTTTTCTACATATTTTAATTTAAACGTAATGTTTAAATATTAACTCACAAAATAAATATTCAGTGAGTCTCTATATTGTGAAAATATTTAATTTCGTCTCCATTTTAATATGGATGTAAAATAAATATAATCGTGATTTATTCAAAAGCTTTTTAATGAAGTGCTCTTTACATTTTTCCTAATCCGGCGAAAACCATTGCTTTTGAATATTATAATTTGAATTTTGCCTTTCTCTCTGTAAGGATAGAATAAATTGTTACGGTAAGCAATTTTACACGGTAATTAGATATACCGCTTAAAATAATTCGTCCCAAATGTTTATTTTTTTTACTTAAGCACTTCTAATGTGTTAAAAAATAAACTGCATTATAAACATCATGAAAAATTACCAACAAAAGTTTAATGTGTTCTAATATTGCTGTAAACTTGTGTAAGGCGCTTAGTAAAAAATAAACGACTTGTTCGCGGTTATCAACTGAACTATGAATACAACGATTATTTGTGTTTTTGGGGAAAAGGAGGCAAACGAGCATGTGGGTCACCTGATGGTAGGTGATCACCGCCGCCCATGGCCATTTGCAACATCGGTTGAGTCGCAATTGCATTGCCGACCTTTGAGGTAGGAATAGGCTCTCTTCTTGAAGGTCCCTAAGTCGTATCGGTCTGGAAATACCGCTACAACTCGTTCCACAAAGTAGTTGTGCGTGGTAGAAAATTTCGCGAAAAACGCACAGTGGTGGACCGCCAACCATCAAGGTGGTGTCGATGGTACTTGGCGGTTTGACGAGTTGTACGATGGTGAAATTCACCAGCAGGTATCAACCCGAACAATTCCTCAGAGCACTTCCCATGATATATTCGATAGAACATGCAAAGGGATGCAACATCCCTTCGCAGGGCCAAAGAATCGAGATAAATCGAAATACGCAAGACTAATACAAAAGCGTAAAGTCTTCTACTTTACGTCGGTCTTCTGTGATGTAGTAATTCCCCGGGCCAGTCTGTCTATTCGCTCAACAGCAGAACTGCTTGCTTTGCCACAGTGGAATATTTTTATGTTTTAGAGTCTTTATAAAATAAATAGATAACAGCTGTTGTATAAAACATTATAACTGTTATCTAATTTTATCTAGCACGCATAGCAGAGTGCAGTTAGTTGCTATGAGAGTAGTGTTGAACTATTTGTTATTGGCTTTCGTTGACTGATCATAGGTTGTTTGATCCCAATGAATTATTGAACGCGAATCAAAGACTTTCGTTTTTCGAATTATATTTTGTGCAAAAAAGTTAACTGCCCTATGTGCCATTTCTATAGTTCTGACAAAAGTCATTGGAACTTACAATCTTAGTGTATCATGTAATTACTGGCTATTGAAATGCTATGATATAAAAATATGCTATATTAGAAGATACTGTATGAAGTATCTTCTAATACTCCTTGTTCGAGCCGTCGACGTCTTCTTGACTCAATATAGTCTGTTGTAGTTACTTCATAAATAGCTCAATCTATCAATCAATTGTTTCTTCTTTTTCCATTGACTTTTCTCTTGTCATTCATGTTAGGAGCGTTCATTTTTAACTATTTTGTAAAAACCTAAAACTATTATTATATAACTGTGTTGTTATAAATTTCTTCCCGTATCGAACACACCTAATACACCTTATGTAGCAACATCACAAACATGTGGTTCCACAAATTACGCACGGTAATCATTATACGCATCTAATATATAATACGTCCTAAAAACATTCCAACTAGTTATTTTATCGAAATTGTGTTCAGTTAATATATAATTTTGTATGCAACTAACAACTATAATATTATAAACGCCAGATGCTGTTAAACTGCAACGTATGTGTCAACAAAATGTAACCGCTCTCATTAACCTGCACGTATTAAACACTAGTAATGGTGTTTATGAACTAATTTTGAACGATATACAATTAGTACACTAATTAACCGTATGTTCAGTAGATATTTGTTGCAGTTAAATGAGTCTTTGTTTTACTACGTGCTGCTAGCACACTACCAAGATGAATAAGTTTTATGTGAACGGAGCGATTATTCACGGAACATCATTATAATTATTCATTTACAGTTTTGTTAAAAAGCAAAACTAAAATTATTACTTGTATTACCATTATGAGCCACAGAGCTAAATTTAAGTATAAAAGAAAGAAGTGAGTAAACTTTAAATTAAGACTTCTTTAGATAATAAGAGTTTATATAAAGGAAACAATATTTTATAAAGTAACCATATTTAAAAAAATCTACCATTAATATTAAATTACTAAGATATCTCCTTAGAAACGTCGTATACAACTAATTATGTTATTAATGTTTATTTTATCCTATTATTTGATTTCGATTTTAATGAAATATTTTATAAAAGTGAATCTGGGGCAGCTGTAGATTCCGCCTTAACAGATTTTTATATTTCTGGCTCGGATTTATAATTGGGTGCAAAAGTTATTTATATTACAGGCGACCTGGCATTTGTGTGAGCTTACACTTTATTCTGGAATGACAATGAGAAAATTCTGCATTATGTTTCTGCTCTTTGTCTAATTTAAATTAAAATATATAAATTAGGGTCTTGAGATTGTATTTTATAAGATGATAAATGTAACTCCTCTAAACTTTTATATTAATATATGTCATACTACATTTTGATGTGCGGGGACCCCATGGATCAACATCGAATGGCACAAATACATAAACTGAACAATGAGACTTATATTTGCGCCACTTACTTCCGTTGTGGTAGGGCCACACAGTACTTTCTACTGTTGCACGAATGGAAAGTACCACGGCTTCACAGAAGATTGGCTTGAAGTGAAGGTATCATACTTTCGCGTTTCGTCTGTAGAGGGTAACAGAAGTTTGTCAACGCATCTACAAGCCCTCAGGTTTTGGAGATGTGCATGGGTGGTGGCAGTCACTTAAGGTTTGGTGAATCGCGTGCTCACTTGACAGCTTTTCACATAAAAAGCTACCTCTGGTGCCGCCCCCGCTCTGACCGAAGTACCCGTTAGATGTGAGGCAGCCAAAGTCTCTGCACAACTAGCATCCCAAACCATGGAGTTAAAAGCATTGCTTACGCCAACCTTCAGAAGTATCAACATCGCTTGTAGTTAAAGGCATGGATTTCGTTGTACAATTTAATAAATGTATACAGGAAAGATATTTGGTTTTCGCGAGCTGAAGCCTCAAAATCTCTGGGACTTTCACGGCCCTTTTTTCATCGTTTTGTATATATTTTAGGAAACAAATGGGTACTTTTACGTATAGATGTGATATTTATAAATCTTAGGCAGGGACAAAATTCTTAATAAAATATTAGACTTTTCGACAATCCACGAAATTTTATAACGACAAATGGACTCAGATCACCACAATTTTGGTACATTTTTGATAAATGAAAATGTGAGCTACGCTAAGTTTTAGCTGAAAATAATAATTTGTTTTTTTCTTGTCATTTAATTTGTTCCAAAATTTGTATGTAATATGTGTGTTATAATTAATTGTTTATTAAGCATATTATGTATTCGATGTAATGTGCAGTATTGTTGTACCACATATTTAAGTATTATTTTACATTTAGTGGAATATTATTAGTAAAAACTCTAAATACATTTATTCCGTAAGTACTTATAAGGTTAATCAAATTAAGAACCTTAAATTTTGAATACAAATACATGAATCTGTAGAAATATTTGATTAGATGTCCTTTTAATAACTGTGATTTATTCAAAAGCTTTTGATAAATCATGGATAATGAAGTGCTCTTAACATTTTTACTAATTGAGCAAAAACCATTGCTCTTGAATATTATATAAATTAAATTGTGCCTTTCTCTTTTGACATGTTTTGTAAATATTTTATCAAATAAGGATAGAACAAATTGTAACGGCAAATAATTTAACATGGAAATTAGATATATCGCTGAAAATAATTAATTTAAAATGTTTGTTCGTTTTATTAC